GAAGATGAAAAACTATTTTCATTGCTCCACCATGTTGTAAAGTTATTACTACTAAACCACACTATATTAAATTATGTGTAGGAGATATTGTTACTGAAAAAGGAATTCAATTCCAAGGTGTTGATGCTTATAATACTAACAAGAATTTCCACCTTAAGTCAATGGGATTTATTGGTGTTATTATTACAATCAATGGAAAAAGAATCTATCATGCTGGTGATACAGATGTTATTGAAGAAATGAAAACTTATACCAACCTTGATGTTGCCCTTTTACCTGTTAGTGGAACTTATGTTATGACTGCTGATGAGGCTATTGTTGCTGCTGGACTTATTCAGTCTAAATGTTATGTTCCAATGCATTGGGGAATTATTATTGGAGACAAAACTATGGCTGAGCATTTCGTTGCTTCTGTGAAAGGAGCTATTCTTCCTTCTTTCTAATTAACCTCATTATGGTTTGTTTTTTATTTTAAAAGGTATTTGGTTTTAAACCTTTTTTGAAGTCTTTTATGTTCTTTTTTAATCCTTTTTCATGTTATTGCATGACATTATTTTTTAGGAGAAATTCTTAATATGATTTTACTTTGATTAATTTTTAATCATCGATTATGTTATATTAATGAATCAATAAAATAATAATAATTATGAAACGATTAAATTTTTAGTAACGAATAAATTTAAATTAAATGAATTATATTTTTGTTCTCAAACTCTATATTAATAATCTGCTTAATTAACATAAATAAAATAGAAACAAAGAATGAATATATTATCCTATAAATAATATTTCGGGCTATAAACAAATAACACAAAATTATTTGAAAATATGTTTATTCATTTTCAAAGATATTAAACTTATTTTATTTAGTAAAGAATAAAAAAAAAAAGAGATAAAATAAATTAAATTATAAGTAGAAAATTTTTAAATTTTTAGATAATGGAAGAAACAGTTGAATGGCTGATTAATTCCTTAAAAGAAATTATGAAAAAAGAATGTACAGGAAAGAGATTTATTGAAAATTTTATCATGCCAAAAACGTATTCAGCAAAAAGAATTTTATTAAGAAGAATGACTGATACTATAAAACCATTAAAATATAGTCCATTATTTATTCAAAAACAAAACGAATTATTACAAAGTGAATTAGGAGAAATTATTGATTATAAGTCATTACCAGTTAATCCCAATTTAAATAAACAATTTTCTCGATCTATAAGAGTATGGAAAGGGGATATTACTAAATTAAAAATAGATTCTATTGTTAACGCTGCAAATAATACTCTTGTTGGTTGTTTTATTCCACTTCATTCTTGTGTTGATAGTATTATTCATGAACGTGCTGGAGTTCAATTAAGATATGAATGTAGTCAATTAAAAACAGCTTATAAAGCAACAACAACTACTACAGAAATAACAAAAGGATATAATTTACCAGCAAAATATGTAATTCATGTTGTTGGTCCTATTGTAGATACATTAAAACCAAAAGATTCATATTTATTACAACAATGTTATTTAAATTGTTTAAATAAAGCAATTGAGTCAGGGTGTACTTCAATTGGATTTTGTTGTATATCAACTGGAATGTTTGGGTTTCCAAATGAAGAAGCAGCACAAATTGCTATTCAAACAGTTAATAATTTTCTTAAAGACCATCAAATAGATGTAGTATTTTGTGTATTTAAAGAAATTGATTATAATATTTATACTTCATTATTAAATGATGGGTTTAATCAATTTGATATTATTAATAAAGAATGTTATGACAAAGAATGTTTAAAAGAAAAAGAACAAAAACAACTTCAAAAAATACAACGATTAAAAGAACTTCAATTAAAAAAAAGTAGTGTTAATGAAGAACTTACTGAAAATGAATTAGAAGAATTTTTTGATTTAGTTCAATCAGTTCCAAAAGAGAAAAGACCAAAACAACCTCAAACTCTTGATAAATGGTTTTCTACTAAAAAAGTAAATAAAAAGTAAATTATTTCTTTTAATTTAATATGTTTATTCATTGTTTACTTTTAACGAGTTGTAATATTAGTTCTTTGATATTATTTGTAATAAAAAAAAGTGAATAATAAGTAAAAATTATTGATTAACAATCATTTTGGTTTTAATATTTTATTATTTCTTTTGAATCATTTGATTAACTAATGAAATAAAGTCATTTATTTGAGAAGTTTTTGTGTTCCATTCGAGGTATTGTACTTTTATTTTATCTTGTGAAATTATACGTAATACTGATTTAATTTCTTCATTTGAAATAGCATGAGGTAATTCACTATTCATTGCAATAACAATCATCTTTCTACATACAAGATAATGACTAATATTTTTCCATTCTTCAAAATTTTTAAATTCTTCAAAATTTTTTATATTTGATATATCAAATGCTAATACAAAAACATCAGGTTGAAAATAAAGAAATGGTGATAATTGAAATGAATTTGGTCTTACTTTTGTTGGTTGTATTTTACCTAATGGTAACCAAATTTGATATGATTTGTCATCAGTATAATGCCATTTAACATCACTACTTTCCATGATTGATAATTCACCATTTGCTTTATTTAAGAATGGCATTAAATCAACAGAACAACATGCAGCACAAGTTATTTTAATAATAGTATTTAATTTCTCTACAACTAATTTAACAACTGAGTTTTGTACATCTTCATAATCTTGAGATAGTGAAATGATTGAATCTAAACTACCAAGAGCAATATCAATATCATTTTCATCTCTCAAATATTGAACATATCTCTCAAACTCATTTTCTAAATCATCTTGTTTTTGAAGTTGATGATAATGAATAGCTAATGCAATCATAGATGGAGAGTATAATAAAGGGACATATGATAGATACATCATTTTCATATCATCAATTGCATTTCTAATATAATCTTCTTTAATTCTTAATCTTCCTTCTTTTTCTTCATAAAATTCATTTAATAAAACATTTTCTTTTTTTATATTATCTTCTTCCATTAATGTATTAAGTTCTGTATTCTTCCAATCAACCATCATT